GATCTGACATCTGCCTCGTCCCGCCTGGCAGCGGCTGCAGGACTCTCTTCATAAAGAACAGTAAGCTGCCTTTTCCCATCTGTCTTTGGCCCAGTGCTACTCCCGAACTGAGTATCTACAGCTTTCTAAGCTGCACCCCAAGTCTGGTTCCCACAACACTATGATACTGTTCATCACTGTCTCTCTCTTTCCTTTCCTTCAGAGCCGCTCTCTGTCTCCACTTCCGCCCCGCTTCCCTCTTCAGTCCACAGCTGACTGGCTTCCACTCTCCTCACAGCACCCAGCCTTATAGGGGACCCTCGAGGTCACCAGATCCACTGGCCTTTCCTCAGGCTGCCTCTCCCCATCTGTCAGCAGTCGTTCCTGCCAGCACCACTCTTCTCCATCTTCCACTGCTTCTTCCTAGTCTCCTTTGCTGCGTCTTCTCTTATTCCCCTTGACCTCTAACGGTTCGTGTTCACCAAAGTTTGGGCCTTAGCTGTCTTCCCACTTCACTCTCCCCAGAGAATTTTTTTTTTTTTTGTGAGGAAGATCAGCCCCCGAGCTAACATCCATTCCAATCCTCCTCTTTTTGCTGAGGAAGACTGGCCCTGGGCTAACATCTGTGCCCATATTCCTCTACCTTATATGGGACGCCGCCACAGCATCGCCTGACAAGTGGTGCATCGGTGTGCGCCTGGGAGCCAAACTCGGGCCACCAGCAGCGGAGCGCGCACACTTACCTGCTATGCCGTGGGGCCGGCCCCTCCCCAGAGAATTTTGTCTGCTTCCTTGGCTTCAACCAGCAGCCACATACTGCTTTCTCCTGAATCTGAATGTGAGGCCAAACTGTCATGTCACATTGCCCTCTGGACATCTCCACCTCATTTTCAACTTGCCAAAAATTGACCACAGCAGACCTGTTCTTCAGGTCTGCTCTCCCATCTGATCCCTCACCTTTTTCTTTCTTTTTTTTTTTTTTAATTTAATTTAATTTATTTATTTTTCCCCCAAAGCCCCAGTAGATAGTTGTATGTCATAGTTGCACATCCTTCTAGTTGCTGTATGTGGGACGCAGCCTCAGCATGGCCAGAGAAGCGGTGCATCGGTGCGCGCCCGGGATCCGAACCCGGGCCGCCAGCAGCGGAGCGCTCGCACTTAACTGCTAAGCCGCAGGGCCAGCCCTCCCTCACCTTTTTCAAGTTAACAAACACATAACACATACTGTGTGACAGGCACTGTTCTAAGCACTTACAACCCTCTGAGGTAGGTATTATTATTATCCCCATTTTACAAGGAGGAAACAGAGGCACAGAAAGGTCAATACCTTGCCCAATCTTCTAGAGGCTGAGCCGCCATCTGTGGTGGCTCCAGAGATGGTGCTCTTAAAAACCACTGCACGAAGCTGCCTTTGTTCAAATCCTTTCATTACACTTTTTAAATGGCTGATGGGCATAGACATGGGTCAATATCAGAGTATTCAAGGGTGTCTGAGAAAAGCCTCCCTCCCACTCCTGGCCCAATCCACAGATCCAGGCATGAACAACAAAACCACTCTCTTTCCTTTCTTAATTACCCTCTCTGTGATCTTTTGTGCACATCCCACCCTATACAAATATGCTGTTTACTCCTTTCTCACCTCTTTTTTCCCCCCACAGACAGTAGCATACAACTGTAAACACTGTTCTGCACCTGCTTTTTAAACTTAACACTTATGGGAGGTTAATGTTTCCATATCAGTGTGTAAACAGCTTCCTTGTTCTGTTGACTGCTGCTTAGTACTCCGCGGCACGGGCACATCAGAGCTGATTGATCCATCCCATCCGAAGCTGATGGACCTTTACGTTGCTTCTAATTTTTCTCTCGCTCAAGCAGGGCAGTAGTGAACATCCCTGCACATGGGCACAAAGATTTTTTTCCCTTCTAATATATATAATGGCAGCAGAGATATCATCTCTTACTTTTTGGTCCATAAAATAAACAACAAACCCCTCCTCTCTACAATCCGGCCTTCAACACATCTACCAACTTTTTCTTACATGGTCCTGCCCGAAGTGCTGGTTTGCTCCACTTTGCTCCACAAGTCCCAAGTCAGCCCCCTCTGTCACTATATTTCAAATGCATCTTTCCCACCAACCTTCCACGGGAAACTTCCGCAGAGTTCATGGCTGGTGACTCCCTGGTACTCCCTGCCCCTGCCCAGTGCCAGGGATCTTTGCATTTTGGGGGTCCAGGGCAGGATGTAGGGGCAGTGATGATAAGTTCTTGTGGGGTGAGGGGATGGGAGGGTTTGGGGCTTTGCCTGGGCAAATATCACAGGTTGCTGCTGTCCCTCCCCAGGCAGTGGTTCTGACATCATGGTGAGTGACTGTCGCAGCAAGGAGCAGCTGAGTGATTGCTCCTATACCCGCCCTTCTCCGGTGTTTGGCTTCTGGATATTCTCTCAATGCTGCTTCCTGGATTTCTGCAATAACCCACAGAACAGAGCGTTCTATATTCCCTAGAATGTCTGCAGAGATCTTTGGAGTAAAATCCTGCCAGGTTCCAGCCATCCTCCTGATCTCCACCTGGGCTCAGCCAGGACAACTTCCAGTCCCTCCCAGCAGCTCTCCCTGCCTCCCTCAAGTTACCGGACCCCAGCCCCATCTGCCCCTTGGTTGATGCCCCTCAACATCCCTACTCTCACTCTGCCCCCCTCCTCTAGAATTCTCTGGAGTTTTCCCTTCAAGTCCTCACAGTCCGACATCTTTCCTCCTCTCTGCTCCCACCTTTAGGCTGCTGCTTTGTTCTGTTTTGCTACTTCTCCCTTTCTCTCACCACAGTCTTCTCTCACCCCTACTTCCCAGATGTTCCTCCAAAATAAACTGGTGTATAAATGGTATGGTTTGTTGCTCTCTTCTCACAGAGGTGGAGGCTGAGGGAGGTGGTCCTGCCTTACTGCCCCATCATGGGCGCAGGTAAGGGGCTCCCAGATCTGCTGAGCTCTGCTCCTGCCCTGCCTCAGCGTCTCTGATTCAGTTCCAGAGCTGTGTGGGGATTGGAGGGGAGGCCCATGAGGGGGTGTGTTGGTGGGAGTAGAGTGTAAAAGGCCCAGGCCCAGGGAGGAGGGAGTGGGGAAGGATGCTCTGTGGAAGAGATGGCAGGCCTAGAGGAGCCCTGGCCTCTGATCCACGGCTCTGCTTCCCTCTTCATGGGCCGTGGCAAGTTACTCCTCAATTTTGGACCTTGGGTTTCTCAGCCTCTGAGGCTGTCTTCCAGTTTGACCTGCTAACGCTGTATAAACCTGGGCTTTTCTATCTTATACTGAAGTCACAGGTCATGGGGAAAGGTGGGCCCGGCAAGAGGGGGATACGCTGAAGGTTTATACCTCTTTGTACCTCAAACTGCCTCATGACCTAAAAATTAATATTGGTGTCTCCCAATGGCCAGAGCACAGTCCATTCAAGGGGCCACGGAGATCTGTTAATATGTGTGCAGAATGCTGTGTAGCTAAGAGTAAATACTGCATGATGCCATTTATACAAGCACACAGACAAAATTCGTCTAAGCTGCTACAACTCAGGACAGCGGCTACCCCTGAGAGTTGGGGGGAGTGCCTGGGAGGGGACATGAAGGCAGCTTTGGGTGCTGATAAATGCCTTTATGCTGACTTGGGGACTGGTAACACAGGTGTATAGTTAATAAAAAACCATCTTAAGATATGTGTGAGCTTCTGTATGTTTTGCCAAAAAGGTTTAAAAATAAATAGACCACATCTGTGTGCGCTTGTTTCTTTGCCAAAAAGGTTTAAAAATAAATAGACCACATCTGTGTGCGCTTGTTTCTAAGGCACATCTTTTTGAGGCCCTAACTTCCACCTGTGCACATACATTTACATGCATTCTCTCAATCCCATGAGGCACTATCCCTACTTAAAGGCGACCAAAGTGAGGCTGAGAGAGACCAACTTACCCAAGTGCCAGAGGAGCTGGGATTGGGCCTCACAGCCACAGGCTGCACTACTTTCCAGAAAAAGGTTTCATAACCCCAGCACTGGGTTGCAAGATTTGCAAGGAGGGACACCTGGCTGCACCCATCTGCGAGTCCTGGTGCTTAACTCCAGGCCTGGCACAGGGCAGTGTGTCGTGTTTACTGAATGTATGGGAAAGGTTGAGTTATGGATATTCATTATTGCTCTCTATGTGCTTGCAATCTTTCAAACATAAAATATATATTTTTTTGTGTGAGAAAGATCAGCCCTGAGCTAACATCCGTGCTAATCCTCCTCTTTTTGCTGAGGAAGACCAGCTCTGAGCTAACATCTATTGCAAATACTCCTCCCCCTTTTTTTTTTCTCCCAAAGCCCCAGTAGATAGTTGTATGTCATAGCTGCACATCCTTCTAGTTGCTGTATGTGGGACGCGGCCTCAGCGTGGCCGGAGAAGCAGTGCGTCGGTGTGCGCCCGGGGATCCGAACCTGGGCCACCAGTAGCGGAGTGTGCGCACTTAACCGCTAAGCCACGGGGCCAGCCCCTAAACATAAAATATTAAAATGAAAGATCCAACCACTGCAGCCCCACCTGTACTCTCTGCATTTCCCCCACCACCTAGGCCCCCATAGAAGGAGGGGGTCCTGGGTGCCAGGATCCTGAAAATAACTGAGGATGGGCAGAAACCCAAGCCCCTCAGGATCACGTGGCTCTGAGATGCAGACCTGGGTCCTCTGGTTTGCTCCTGAGTCTTCCTAGTTTAAAGCGAGTTTTCTCTCCTCTCTTAGATAGAAAAACCTGACATCACCTAGGTTTAACTTTCTAGGTTTTGTAGGATATGTTTAAGGCTGGAAGGAGTCACAATCTCCATGCTTTGATCTCTAGCTGAGCAGATGGTGGAACGGATGCCAGCCCTTTGGGACAAGCCATGAGGAACTCACAAAGGCCAAGTGGATTGGGCAGGTCTCTGAACGCCACACCTAATTAACTTTCTTTAACCTGCCTACACCTGCCCACACCTGAGTCTGAGCCCATAAACGACGTGACACAGACTTAGCCCAGTCCATTTATTGTGGAGGGAAACCGAGGGACATGGAACAGAGCAGAACAGACCCTCTCCTCTCCTCTCCCCAGGCAGCTATGGAAGTGGGGAAGTGCCTCAGTGATGTGAAGTGGGGCTGAGGAGGCAAGAGACTGGGACAAGAGATGAGAGGATGCAGCAGGAGACCAGGGTGGGAGTGGGGGTGGTGGAGATAGTAGGGCAGGGACATCAGAGTGCTAAGTTAGGAAACCTGCATAGAAGTCTACCCCTCATCCTTCTTGCTGCAAGTTCAGTCTGGCATTGGATCTTAGAGATAGACATAGGATAGGATATGGAGCTAGATCTGAATGGAGGTAGCAGGTGACCAGATAAGAGGGGTTTGGGAAGAGGATGGGGGTTGGGGGGTGGTGTGGAACACTCAGATGATGGGAAAGGGATGAGGAAACCACTATGCCTTTCCCAGGTCAGCCTGGGCAGAATCTGCACTTGAGATTCTTTTCTAGGAGGAAGAAAGAAGAGCACTGGAGGCAGTGCCAACTGGTTTCTGGGGAAGAAATTAAATCAAAGCCCTATAGATACTGGAAGTACCATGGAAAGGAGACCTAAGAAATTCTAGGCCAGAGAATGTGGGTGTTCTGAGAGGGCAGTGTAGGATGCTTGAGTGTTAGGGGAGAGATGCTGGAACAGAGTAGAATCCGGGAAGGGTAAGGTGTCAGGGTCCAGCCCGAGGAAGAACCAAAAGTCCTGAATTGCTGAGAAACAAGTATATGCGGCGCAGCTCAGCAATAGGCAAGCCCAGGTTCAGGGGCAGGGCGGCCAGGGGGTCCAGGCCTTCAGGTTCCTTCTCAGCATGGAAGCTGGGCAGGGGCAGCGAGAGGTTCAGGGCCTGGTAGAACTGCTGGATCTGGGACTCCGACAGAGGTAGGGCCAGGGACCTGTCAGGGGGCTCAGGCAGGGAGCTCTGGAGCTGGGGGCTGGACCAGGAGTTGCAGTAATCATACTGGCAACATTGGGCCTGGTACCAGTACTCCGGGAAGTAGGTATTGCGTTTTTCTTGGCAGCGGTAAGAATTGTACTGTCCACAGCCTCGGATGAAGAAGCGGACCTTGGTATCTGGAAGAGAGGGAACAGCTAATAACCCCAGCTGCTTCCCACAGTCCCCCAAACTAGCATCCCTACCACTGAGTCTCCTCATCCCTCCCCTAGACCCGAATTCCATCCCAGGCTCCTCCAGAAGAGGCCAGAAAAATTAGCTTAGTTGGACCCCCAGAACCCTCCTTCCAAGATCCTCCCCTTTTCTTCTTGTACTCCACAGCCCAAGCAGCCCTCATCTAAGAGAGGAGGCGGCCAAGCCATGGCTGCCCCACCAGCAGCCCCTTCCTGGTACCTGACTCACCACGATAGATGGTGATCACCATGCATGGGGATGAACTGCTGATGGTGCACTTCTCCGAGCCTGAAATGCAACCTACAGAAGGGTCTCCTAAGAGGCAGAAGTGGCAGGTCCGGACTTCAGGAACAGGAGCTGGGGAAGTGGAAGGCAGGAAGGACGGCAGTGTTGGCTCACTCCAAGTCCCCTGCCCTGCAGGGAGCCACACATCCAGGGCTCCAGCCCCACCCCTTCCTCCCTGCCCCTGGGTTGCACTTACCCTTTCCCACTGTGAAGCCCACCATGATCAGCACACCTACAAGCATCCGGGCCTGCATTATGGAATTCTGGGGAGAGAGGCAGTCCCTGAGGGGTGCCCACGCTCCTTGATCCTTAGCTGCAGGGTGGTTTTGACAGGCAGAGTCTGCGCAGGAGCTGCTGTAGGTGCAGAGCTATATTCCTGCCTGGGGCAGGATCCTGGCTAGAGGAAGTTATTAACTTGGCAGGAGGGACAGTGTGTCCTCACCCATGAGGTCTGGTTCCTGAATGTGGGAGTAGTGGCCCAGACAGGGGTCCTACTTGGGCCTTTATCCAGCTGTCTACCTTTGTCCTGCACGCCCAAGGATCTATTCCCGGCCCTCAAGGGTCCATGGATTGGCATCTGTCTCTGGCACCACCTGTTGTCCTTCCCACACAATAGGGCCAGTCCCTACCACGCTGGGTGAAACTCTTGCCAGGAACCCAGCATCCCCATCCTTCTGAGATGAGCATGTCTCAGCTCCCCCAGCAGGGGGCACACAAACACCACTGAGCAGCAATTCTGGAATTGTCCCTCCTCTCTCCACCCCTTACAGTTCTGTTTCTTTTAGGACCACTTTCCCTGTAAAACCAAAACTGAAAGCATTGCTGATGACCTCCTTTACAGTATAAACAGACAGCCATAGGTGGCCCAAATAGAACCAATATTTCTCAGGTCTTTGAAATCTGATTTTTCTCTGGGTCTTTTCCTTGAGACCTTGTACATGCCCACACCCAGCCCTAGGAATTCTGCTCTGCTGTCTACTAGAAACATCCCCAAACCCACTGGGCACAAATCTGTGCCAGTTTTCAACTTCGGGAGGGGGGGCTGGGCCATGAGGGCCCCTGGGGTCCAGCACACCACCACGCTCCCTTCCCCAACCCCAAGCACCAGCAGACTAGCTCACGGCCTTTTCTTCCACTTTATTTCATTATTCCCACCACAATAATGACTCCTTTAATTTAAACTAAAAACCACAGGGGATTCCTGAAAGGGTGGCAGCAAAGGAATGGAGGTGTCAAAGGCAAGGGAGGTGGGGTGGGGAATCAGCGAATCGTCTTGACTGGGCTCTTGAAGTTGCTGGCGGCTTGGAGCTGCAGCTGGTAGGCCATTGGATGGATCTTGAAACCGTAGAGCCTAGGCCGGGGCAGAGGTCAGAGAGGCAGCATGGTGAGCCCCATCCAGGCCCTGCCAGTGGCCTGCATTCCCACCTCCCCACCCCAGCTCCTCCACAGGCCTGCTCAGTGCTTAAGGGCAGTGTTCCCAAACTCCTTCCCTCATGAATATTAGGGAGCATATCTTAAATATCCATTAAAACTCAAATTCTAGGATATACATGTGTATTTGTATAGATATGTGTGTGTGAATATGTATTTATCAGTACTTGTTTCAATATAAAACTGAAATTTTCTTCCCTACACCTGAGTAAAAATGATGCTCCAGGAAGGTTAACCACACTTGAACCATGGCTCTGAGGATCTTCTGGCAAAAGCTGAGTACCCAAGATGGTGGCAAGAACAGCTATCATTTAAATGATGCTGCAAGCGCCAAGAGTTATTCTAAGCACTTCACGTAATTAAAAACACCCTGTCAGGCATGTACTGTCATAATCCCCATTTTATGAATAAGGACACTGAGGCAAAGGCAATCCAAGAACTTTCCCAAGGTTCCTCGGCAGGGAGAACCCTGGCTTTGGGAGAAGCAGGCCTCAAGAAAAGGACCATGCCCTGTCTTCCCTTCTCTCTGGGGGTCCCGGGCCTTTCCTCTGACCCTTGGTGACTCTGTCCCTGCTCCCACCTGGGCACAAACTGGTTGGCGGGCCGCTTGGGCCGGTACTCGGGGTGCACCATGAAGAGCATGTGAGGGAAACCGGTGCCGAAGTAGGCGCCATCCGTGTGGTGGTGCCTCGATGACTTGGGTGTGTACACGTCCATGCACTTGGGGCAGTAGAGCTTCACCATGGCCTCACCTGGGATGTCCGAAAGGCCTGGGAGACAGCCAGACTCAGCAGGCCGGGCTCCCCCAACCTTGCCCAACCTCCCTCCCGGACTCAGCCCCCAACTTGCTGAGCCCCGACTCATTCCCAGAGGACCTGCCATATGCTGCCCTCCTTTCCCTTCTCCGACACTCACCGATGGGAAGCATTGGCTGGTTCTCACAGTACACACGGGGACAGTAGCCAAAGTCTCCCTGCTGGTATTTTTCCAACTGAGGTGAATAAAACGGAAGAGGTTGGTGGGCAGGCGTGAAGAGAAGAGGCAATCTCCTCCTCAGCTCAACCCACATCACTGTCCCCCACTCCTCCTGTCTCTCTCTGTCCAGAGGCCCCTTCTCTGGCCCAGGCTGGCCCTCAGACTCCTCTGCTTCCTTTCCTCCAGTTAGGCAGGCTGTAGACCATCAGAACCATCTGCTGTTTATTCCCTGAGGAAGAGGCAGTCTGTAACAACTTCCCATCCAAGGTCGTGTCTCCCCCCCTGAAAACGCCCCCTTCACACAACCCCCAACCAGGATTTCATTCCCAGGCCCAGGTTCTGGGGTTCTTCCCCTCTTCTCAGCTAGACTCCTTGACAGGGTTGAAACACATGACTTCTTGCTGTGGGAACCTCTGTTTTCCTTATTGCCTCAGAAGGAATCAAGTGGGAGCAGAGAGGCCTCACCATCTGGGCGATGCCACGGTTGGTGAGGATATAGCGGGCGTGGATCAATCCATAAAGCATCTCAGCTGCCTGCTCAATCAGGTCACTCTGGTTGGGGTTGTCTTCCAGCTCTTCATCTGAAACATGGCCCCGGCCGAATGTAACCACTTGACTTACAGCTTTTTTAAGATGCCCTGCCCACCCCAAGGGGCTGCTGCCTACTCACTTTGCCCAGCACCCACCTTTGAGCCTCACCCCACCCATCACCTGGGCATTTGACCCAGAAACCTGGGCCTCTGACCCTTCCACCAACCCAAGGCAGCTCTGCCTTCTCTCTACACCTCTTCAGCTTCTGCTCTTTTCTCTCGCTCCCAACTCCCTCCTCAACACACAAATGCAAAGATGTCACTGCAGAATATGAACTCCAGACCAGAAGGTGCAAGGCAGGAGAAACAAGCAGAAAATGAGACCCAGGGGGAGACCAGCATTATGCAATAGAGCTGAGTTACAGAATCAGAGTATGGGAATAAGTGGTATAAATCATAAAACTAGGCAAGAGTCAGGTGGGGGATCAAAATGAGGTAGGGGATTTTGGGTTAAGGGAGTCATAAAACCAAAAGGAAATTCAGAAATTCAAGAAGCAGGTGAACAGGAATTTGAAATGAAAAAAAAAAAAGCCTACACACACAAAACAACCCTGAGGGTGCCTCACCAGGTTCCAGGTCCAAGATCATGTCTAGAGCTTGTCGATAGTGAGGCACCTGCTCATTGAGTCCAGTGAGATTGAATTTGTCCTGGATGTAGTCTTCATCCACCTGTCAGGATATGGAAGTCAAGAGGGAACCTAGTTATAAGGCAGTTATAATCCCTTATAGCAGAACGCTCAGCTTTGACCTGGGCAAGTTGCTCAAACTGATGCTTTATCCTCTACACAACTGCTTCTATTCCCCTTGTGACCCACTCTCAACTTGGCAGAAGGACCTGAGACTCTCTCCTCAGTTTACACACACTGCCCTCCCATAAAAGCTTTGACTTTTCTTCTTTTTTAATTTTATTTATTTTTTTCTCCCAAAGCCCCAGTACATAGTTGTATGTCACAGCTGCACATCCTTCTAGTTGCTGTATGGGGGACACAGCCTCAGCATGGCCAGAGAAGCGGTGCGTCGGTGCGCGCCTGGGATCCGAACCCGGGCCGCCAGCAGCAGAGCGCGCGCACTCAACTGCTAAGCCACCAGGCCGGCCCTGGCTTTTCTTTTCTAAGGATAAGCAATCTCTTCCTCAGAGAGACAACTCCTTCCAAGATCCCTGTCTCTGCTCCTGCCACATCTCTAGGAGCCAGTTCTGTCCTCTCCTTAGGGGCAGGTGGCTCTCTCAGGAACGCAGAGGCTGAACAGCTTAGGTTCTAAAGATAGTTACAATGCCTTATGTTAACACTTAGCTTTGCATATTATAAAATATCTTAATATGCAGTGTTTCAATTCTCCTAAAAGTCACCGGAGATCGGTACTACCAGCACCACTCTAATAACAAAAAAAGGGAAGACACAGGTTGACTTGTCCAACATTACATTGCTGGAGGGTGGCAGGGTTGGGACTTGGGCCCCAGTCTTGCCACTTCATCACAAGTTAGTGGGGGTTACCGAGAGGACTCTTCCTCGACAGGAAAAAGTTTCTACAGAAGCATCTGAGTGAAGTGTGTGGAAGCTAAATATGCGGGAGGACATCTGGCCAGACTATAAGTGAAGATGTGCAGGGGGATTGAGAACTCACTTCGCAAAAGAACTCATTGCCACGGAGACCACAGAACCAGGAAATCCAGGATACCTCCTCTGAGCTGCTCATCTTCACGTCAGCTGCAAAAAGAAGGGCGTTAAGTAGAGTCCAAGCTCTCCCTCCCTGCTTCTGGTATCTTCCCTCCTCCCACACTTTGCTCTCCAAACACGAAAGAATTTGGGCCACCTTTTCTTAAAGGATTCTAGACTCTGGAGCGCCTCCCTTCAGTTCCTCTGGGTTACACCTCAGCCTATCTTATCCGAGATTAGAAAATCTTTGAGGTCCCATCACTTGCGAGAAACGCACACATCCTGACCCACCAAGTCCTACCCACATCCCTGACGCTCCCGAAGGCCAGGCTCCTCTGCCCTCCGTATCAACTCCCACAGGCCCTCCGCTCGGGCTCCCTACCCCCGCAGATGTCTGCATGCTCCCTGGCGCTTTTCCCAAGGGTTTCCAAGTTTATCCTTTTCAAGCAAGAGCTGGGCCCCCTCTTTTCTCACGGCCAGGGGTGACCGTCAGGTCCCTTTCACCGGAGTCCCCACATCCCGCCTCTGCCCCTCAGGCCATCCCTCCCTCCCTCGGTGCCGGACCGGGTCACTTCCTTCTCCGCCTCCACATTAAGGAGCGGAGACCCCATGTGCCGCGCCCAGGGACAGGGGACTCGGTGCGGCGACGACCTCAGACTCACCGGGTGGACGAGGGCCGGGACCAGGGTGGGGGAGGGGAGCTGCTGCTTCCAAAGAACCGCGGCGACCGCTACAGCGCAGGCCGCGGACCCGACCGCGGCAGGCGAGTGGGGCGGGGGGAGTGGAAATCGGGGAGGGTGGGGGAAGAGGGCAACGCGCAAGCGCCAAGAGTCGAGTGCCCGAGTGGACGCCGGGAGACGGAGTCCTCGGTGGGGAGAAACTGGCGAAACGAGGGAAAGGCGAACTACGAATCCCAGGATGACTCTCACACGACCCTGGTGTCGCGAGGCCGCTGAGGAAGACGCTTGGGGGCGGGGCGCAGTGAGGCGCCACCGGAAGAGGAAGCCCAGTACGGCGTCTGGGCCAGGGAGCTTGGGAAATATAGTCGTGTGATCCGGGGACCGAGGGGCCAAGAGGGGGCGGGGAAAGGAACGAGTCTGGCTGGATCGTTTCCTGCCGCTCCCGTGACGCCTAGCCCCGGCGCACCTTTGCTACCCAGGGGACTACTGACCCCATCTCCGGCCAATCCGCCGAGTCTTTATCGCCTGTCGAGCCCCTCACCCGAGTCAGGCCCGCCACTGGAGACCCCCGATGGGGCCTATGTTTCACCCCGGGCTTCGGCCTCCTGGGACGGGAGGTGAGGCCGGGCTCCGTGCTGAGGGACCTGGGTAGGGTGTGCTGAGCTGAGCTGAGCGGTGTGAGAGCCGGGACGGCCCAGTGCGCTAACCTGAGGTGGTGCCAGCTATTCTGCTGCTTGTCCCCTTGCACTTCTCCATTTCGTCTTAAGGCTTGAAGGGGGCCTTCTGCTGCGGGCTCTAAGTGTGACCTTCGAACCCTGGTCAGTAATGGTGAGGGGCAGCGCGACGTTATTTCATTTCACAGCTTCTAGGCATTCCACAAGTTTCTCTCCGCTTCCTCACGGCCTTTCTTAACCCAGAGAGTGGTTTCCCAACTCCAGAAAATGAGTTCGGAGCGGGGGCCAAGTAGAGGAAGGCGAAGAGCATTCTGGGGGTGTTATGTAAAAGTATGACCCCCCCCCCCTCAACCGACAGATCCTCCTCGCTCCTCGCGGTACCTCGGCACGTGGCGCACTGGGCGCACAGTATTGAAAAGGGTCAAGGGCGGGAAACTGAACCCGTGCTTTGCGCATGCCTGCTCCCTCTACTAATGTTTTTGTTTTTGTTTTTTTCCCAGCCACGCATGCATCCTCGTGTCGTGTGGTTATTTGATTGTGTCAACTCTTTTGCTTGGAGTAGCGCCATTTTGCAGTACGGAAGCTACAAATCATCGCAGACCAGAGCATCTCCCTGAAATCTGCTTCCGCAGAAGTGTTAAGTCTGTGGAGAAGTGTCAAGTCTGTTTTCGTTTGGGAAGAGGATACCGAAGCAGGATCAAGGAAGATTTAAAGGGCCAGGCTGATTGTTTTTCTTAATGGTATGTCTTAATGGGGTGGTAAAGTGGTTTCAGAGAGAGGCTGTTATTTATTGTTGGTGAGGATGGGGGTGGACCGCAAGACCTCTGGACAACTGTCTCATGTTGTTGTCTTTGTTAACCTTTACTAAGGGGCATGGTCTGTTATTATAGGGTTTCCTGTTTTTTCACATGACTTAGGTCCCATAGGCCCTGCAGGGTCCTAGGTTGTGGGGTCATTTTTGGGGCAGGAGGGGGATTTTGACTCTAAGGTTACTTTTCTTCATCCCAGCAGGCATCTGGAGGTGGCTCTGGTCACTGCAGGGCCACTAGGGGGTCGGCTTGCTTGTCTCATCCTCCCCTTGCGTAGTCTGTTTCCCAAAAGCCATGTCCAGGCCCTCGCTCATCACCTTCACCCCGGCCACTGACCCCAGCGACCTCTGGAAAGATGGGCAGCAGCAGTCACAGCCTGAAGAGCTAGAGCCCACCCTGGATGGGGCTGCAGCCCGGGCTTTCTATGAGGCCTTGATTGGGGATGAGAGCAGTACCTCTGAACCCCAGAGAGCTCAGCCTGAGCCTGCCAGTGAGAGAAAGAGGAAGAAAAGAAGAATGATGAGGGAGGCTGCAGCAGGAGCATCAGGAGGACATGGACAAAGGAGATCCCTTGAGGCTGAGGACAAGATGACCCAGTGGATACTGAGGGCAGCCCAGGAGGGGAATGTGGCAGAACTAAGAAGGCTGTTGGATCCCCAGGAAGCAGGGGGAGCTGGAGGGAATATCAATGCTCGGGATGCCTTCTGGTGGACTCCTCTGATGTGTGCTGCCCGAGCAGGCCAGGGGGCGGCTGTGCGCTATCTCCTGGGCCGTGGGGCTGCTTGGGTGGGGGTCTGTGAGCTGGGTGGCAGGGATGCTGCTCAGCTGGCCGAAGAAGCAGGCTTCCCTGAGGTGGCCCGCATGGTCAGAGAGAGCCACGGAGAGACGAGGAGTCCAGAGAATCGGTGAGGGGAAGCCTTAGCCCATATCCGTCTTTCACTGTGTTCTGTCCTTCCTAGCCACTTCACACCAGAGACCCCAGAACAGAGCTGAAGGTTTCTTTCCCCCATCCCCCAGTGTAGGTTGATAAGGCAGTGTGGCAGCGTGGGTATGAATATGAGTTCCCTGGGTTTAAATCTTGATTCTCCTTACTTGGGCAAGCAACCTAATGTCTATGCGCCTCAGTTTCTTTATCTGAGAAATGGGGGTAATAACAGCACCTTTCTCATAGGGTTGTTAGGATTAAATAGGTTAATATGTGCTAGAACAATGCTTGCCACATAGTAAGCACTATATAAATATTAGCTATAATCATTATTATTATTCTTCCCCCGCCCAAGAGCCTGTGAGGCCTGGTTACCATCTCCTCCCAACTATTCCCCTCTGGGTCCCTCATTAGCAGCAAGACTGGAAGGACCCTGTCCCACCCTGACACCCCTCTCTGAGGCCTCAACCCTTCCCTTGCCCTCAACCCTTTCTCTTTTTCCTCTGCAGGTCCCAATCCCCTTCCCCCCAGTACTGTGAGAGCTGTGACGCCCACTTCCAAGACTCTAACCACCGCACATCCACTGCTCACCTGCTGTCACTGTCTCGGAATCTCCAGCCCCCCAACCTGCCCCTTGGGGTGCCCACCTCCAGCCCAGGCTTCAAGATGCTGCTGAGGGAGGGCTGGGAGCCTGGAATGGGGCTGGGACCGCGGGGCGAGGGCCGCGCCAATCCCATCCCCACTGTCCTCAAGAGGGACCAGGAAGGATTAGGCTACAGATCAGTGCCCCAGCCCCGAGTCACACACTTCCTGGCTCGGGATACCCGGGCTGTGGCTGGGAGGGAGAGAGCCCCTCGGGTGATCACACTGAGTCGGAGGGAGGAGAGAAGGCAGGAGGAGAAGGACAGGGCCTGGGAGCGGGATCTGAGGACATACATGAACCTTGAGTTCTGACCTTAGCAAGGTCTGACTCTGGTCTGCTGCTCAAGTCTGAAGTTGGGCTTTTGAACTGGACATTTTGGCTTCTATTTCCTAAGGTCTGCCCAGGTCCTAGACCCTCAGGTTTTGGTCAGTGGGCTCTGCCTTTGGGAGAGAGGGGCTGAGAGTTGAGAAATAAATAAACCTTCTCCCTCTTTTGTGTTTTATTTACTTTTCTGGAAGCTGTTGCAGGGAAGCCAAACAAGTCTGGGGGCCACGTGCAAGTCCCACCTGAGACAGAAGGGGCAGCCCCTCCAGGTGGCATGAGAGGGTCACCTCCCTGCCAGTCTGGTTCACTTCCAGGTCCTAGCCCCTACTTGGAGTGCCCCACCTATTCTTTTACCCCCCTGAACGGGAATTGCCCAGCCCTATGTAAGTCTCACCTCTCCCAGGAAGTGTCCCTGACTACTCTAGCCAATTCAATCACTGATTTCACAAACAAGTTCATATATTTTGTGCTGAGAATAGGAATAGGAGACTTTCCCAACCTTCAAGTTGCTCACAGATGGAGAAGGAGATGCCCATGGGTTCAAATATACTGCATGGTGATAGGGGACATCAGGGAAAGCTCCCAGAGGTGATGAGAGCAAGTAGGGTTTTGCAGGAGGAGGCCATTGTGGTGGGAGGGCCTAAGATTATCCAGGCTGTACGCTGTTAGCTGAGCTGGGATCAGAACTCCGCCCTCCCAAATCTAAACTTTAAGCCAAGGTTCTTCATTTCACTACCTCAAAATTCCTAAGGGTAGGAAGCACATCGTATTGTCTATACTTGTGTTTTCCACACTCCCCTGTCCCCCTCCTCCTGCTGCTCATACCAGGTGCCACGCACGTGAGGAGCTCACTGTTGTCAAATCCAGGAAGTAAAATTTGCATGGAGGGGCAGGGAAGGGCTACTCAAGCCCCAAGACTCTTCTCGTAGCTTTTTTTTTTTTTCCGGAGAAGCCTTTCATGAAGTCACAGACAAGAGGAGTGGTGGGGGGCTAAAGGGGACGCGCCAGTTTAGGGGAGCACAAGCGGCCCACGGGCCTCTGGGCGACGAAAAGGGAGGTGGGGTGGCGTTTACATCAGGCCCTGGCCCTCGCTGACCTGGGCCCCTTGCCCCGCGGTACGGCCGGGAGCGCGGGGGACGGTCGATCCGCAGGGTCCGCCCCTTGAGCTACGGGCTCCGCCCCTGCCTGTCCCTCCAATCTCGGTGCAGCCGCTTCCGGGCTCTGCGGCTCCGGGCGGCTCCGTGAGGCCGCGGTCCCGACGCTGGGCCCGGGAGGGGCCGCAGCGCACAGCGCCCGGGCGGGTCTGTCCCCAGGCGGGTCCAAGCTTTGCCTCGCGACCGGGATCTCCGAGGACATCTTCGGCCTGACCTTCCAGAGGCCGCATTTCAGCTGCGTGCTCAGGGGCCGGTCGGGCCGCGCTCTAGGATTCATAGCCGTCTAAATCAAGAGAAGAACGCCGCTGGCTGGAGTTAGCTGGACACCTCTTCTCCACTCCTCAGCAGGAGACTTCCTATTCCTGAACTCCCTTAGGGCAGCAGTTCAGGGCTCCCCAGATTGGGAGCACCTAGGACCCGGGGCCACCTTCCTTCTTTCCTTCTTGGATGGAGCATTGCCTCCCCAGTTTTTGGGGCACCTTGGGGCTTGGCCTTGGTGAGTGAAACTTGGGGTGCTGCCTGCAGGAAAGGAAACCTGGAAACACAGGGAGGACACTGTGGGGGTGACCCAGGCTGTGTCAGATCTTGAGACTCTTGGAATCTTGTGTGGGGTGGTAGTGGTGAATGAATTTGGATGTGCCTCCCTTCTTTACCTCAAACCTGAAAAGGACACAAGTTGCCTGCCACACTTGAAGCTGCGTGACCATCCAGGGAAGCGGGAAACCACTTCTGAATTCAGGGAAGGACTCACCAAGCAGATACCTGTTCTTCTGAGCCTGAAAAGACCCTAGCTTCTGAGGAGTCCCTCAGCTTACAAACCTGAGAGTCTAAGCAGTGCCAGGAAGCGGCCCCAGAATTTGGGGGCTCATTACGCACCCCAGCCATGTTCCTGCGACAGCTTGGTGGCTGGCTGCCTCGCCCCTGGGGCCGTCGGAAACCAACAAGGCCTGACCTGCCCGCCCCGGACTCCAGACGGGTGGACAGCTCCTCTGAGAATTCAGGGAGTGACTGGGACAGTGCCCCAGAAACTGTGGGAGACGTGGGGCCTCCCAAGACCAAGGACTCAGGGGCACAGAGGAGCTCGGGGGCTGCTGCAGAACCAAGCAAGGAGTCCCAGGTTGAGCCACTGGGGAGCAAAAGAATGGATTCCTTCAAGTGGGACAAGACTGTCTCTAGCACTCAAGAGTCTGGGAGACTGGAGTCTGGAGGGGCCATTCCCAAACTGGGATGGCATCCTGTGGAGTCAGGTGGCACCAGACCCGGAATGTCCCCTGAAGAGGGACTGAACACCCCTGGGCCTGAAGCCCCAGTGGAGAAGCCTGGCCAGCGTCAGAAGCTGCTGGGCTGGCTGCGAGGAGAACCAGGTGGAGGAGCGGGGGCTCCTTCGAAGTACCTGGGGGGCCCAGAGGAGTGTCTGCAGATCTCCACCAACCTGACCCTGCACCTGCTGGAGCTGCTGGCCTCAGCCCTGCTGGGGCTGTGCTCACGGCCGCTGCGGGCAGCCTTGGATGCACTGGGCCTGCGTGGACCACTGGGCCTCTGGCTGCATGGGCTGCTGTCCTTCCTGGCTGCCCTGCATGGGCTCCACGCCGTGCTGAGCCTACTTACTGCTCACCCCCTGCACTTTGCCTGCCTCTTTGGTCTCCTACAGGCCCTGGTGCTAGCTGTCAGCCTCCGGGAGCCCAATGGGGATGAGGAGGCCACTGACTTGGAGGGCGAGAAGTTGGGGAAGGAGGGTGAGGAGCAGAGGGGAGACCCAGGAAAGGGGCTGTGACCTCGGGGTGGGGTGTGACCCAGAGCCTCACCCTCAGTGGGGTGGGAACAAGGGTGAAGACAGAGTGGCCTTTAGGAGGAGAGTCGGGGGCATGACCCAAATTGCAAGCACAGGGACCTCAGGGATGAGGAAGAAACCCCAGAGTATGAGGGCACAGGGCCTCCCTTCACACACAGAGAGAACAGTCTCTGTGTTTATGGACAGTGGGGGCATCGCCCTTGAATTCACCAGCTGTTGTTACTTTTTGCTTTTACATTTTTCTCACCTCCAGGTTTTTTTCCACCTTCACTTTTTAAAAGCAAAAAAAAAAAAAAAAAAAATGTGGTGGCAGAAAATAAAAACTAAAGGGTCCTTCCCACCTTTCAAAACTCCCCAGGGGTGGAGGAGACCAAAGGCAGGACATACAGACCTCTGGGTGGGGTAAGAGGGTGGCTCAGAGACCCAAAGGATCCCTTGGATCCTGGGATCTGAGCCATCCAGGGAAGAGTGGGGCTGTTAGTGGGGTGGAGTAGGGGGTCTGGATGGGAGCCCACAGGTGACAGGGAGTCCGCAGGGAGGATCTGTGGTGTTCCTGGGGAGCCAAAGGAAGTGGGGATGGTGCAGGCAGTGTGGCACGAGGGCCAGCTCAGAAGGGCTGGCAGCCTAGAGAACAGTGTGGGGAAGCACTGGAGCTTGCAGTTCCCACTCGGGGGCTGGGGGTTTGCTCACTTAGCAATAAATAACTGTGTCACACCAAATCCTAAATATACCACTACAAAGTGAGAGTTACCGCCACTCAGTGTCCTTCCTGACGCCGTCCAGCTGGAGGTTTAGGTGGCAGAAGGTCCAGGGGGAGTATGGAAATGGGAGTAGTGGGATTGATGTCTGGAGACAAATCCCAATGAGACCCTGATTGAAAATCTTTATTGAAATCCTTATTGAAGGGCCGGCCCTGTGGCTTGGTGGTTAAGTGCGCGCGCTGCGATGCTGGCGGCCCGGGTTCGGATCCTGGGTGCGCATCGAGGCACCACTTCTCTGTCCATCCTGAGGCCGAGTCCCACATACAGCAACTAGAAGGGCGTGCAGCTGTGACATACAACTATCTACTGGGGCTTTGGGGGCAAAAAAAAAAAGAAATCCTTATTGAAAAATCATTTTTATCATTCTTCAAAGGGAGCTGGGAGTCTCCAGCTTCTCCTCACCACAATCTCAACTCCCATCATATCCATCAGATGAAGCCACAGGTCAGTTACTGGAGAGCTCGCAGGCCTCTGGTGGGAGGAGGGAGAGAAAGAGGATGGAAAGGAAGGAAATCCAGGGAGATTCCCTCATTCCCTCATTCCCCTGTGTTGAGAAGGGATCTCTGAGGACTTTTTCCCTCCGTGTCTGACCCTCTGCCCCCTTTATCCACGCAAACTCAGAAACCTCTCTTTTGAGTAGCCCAGAGCCCATCCTGGCTCCCTCAGGTGACATCACAGCTCTTGGCCACATCCCTCTGGTGCCATCACAGCCTGTGACACAAATGGAGGGTCAACACAGCCACTCTGATGATATCAGCCTTTGGCCATGCCCTCTGGTGACATCACTTGAGTCCCTTTCATCCAGCACCTGCAGAAGACTTGGTGAGTCCTAGTCCTCTACTGTGCGACTTTACCCCTCACCTTGATTCCTGGGAGTCAGTAAGAAGGCCTTGGAGTCCAGGCAGGAGGTCAGGGACCGGAATTCCTCCACACAGTTCTCAGGAGGGTGTGGCAAGCGATCTGGAAGGGCAGGGCAGGGCCAGGCCCATCAAAGCCCCTGCTTCTTAGCACTGCCCCTGGTGAGGACCTCATGGAAGCACCCAGCCCTTCCTGGGATGATGTGACAGGGCCCAGAGTGAGGAGCTCTCCTGTCCTCCCGTGTTTCCCTCCAATCCTTCCTGCCTGGCATCCCCACTCACTGTAGAGGAGGAAGCGCTGGTAACCCTGGCCCGTCTCTTTCAGCATGATTCCACCTGGGCATGAGCTAGAGAAGAGCTTGGTCTTCATGTCGGGGCGGCCTGTCAGGGTGGGTGGGGAGAAGTGTGAGGACCGAGATGCAAAACCAAGCAAGCCCAGAGGACTTGGGGAGAGTGAGGACTGGAGAGAACCAACCTTCGGTTCTGAGATCTGTGCTCCCCTCAGTCAGGTGGTAAATCCATCTCCGGGGCACACAGAGCCCATTTTTCCTGCAGAGGTGGTGGTGGCAAGTAGGCAAGACTGAGTGACACCCCAACCACACAGTACCAGCCTCTATTTATTCCATCTTATTCCTTCTTGAAGCCCGGGTCCCATTGGGTTTCAAGCTACCAAGGGATGGTTAGGCCCATTTCTCTCCAGACTGAAACTAATAGAGCTGTTAAACTCAGAGGGCCAAGAATTGTGGATATGCCAAAGCACTCAGCTCTTTGTGGGTAGGTGCTCACACTTCAGGCAGAGACCGCACCTACTGGTGCCTCTGCCTCCTCACCACTCACGTGCGGATGGTAGCACGAAGCTGGAGCTGCTTGGGGGCAGAGTCTGCAGCCATGTTGAAGACAATGTTGTCCACAGGGTCAAAAGTCGCCAACTCCTCCTTGGTGGGAGCTGCTCCTGCGATAAAGTACCACCGGCCCAGGTGGGGCTCTGGGAACTGGAGAGACAATAAGGGGAACAGAAGAGGGTGGGTCCCACTACAGGATCCATCCCATGTCTTCATCAGTCAGGATGGCAAGACGTAGAGGTGGAGATGTTGGCTGCCTTTTTCCAGTTGGGGGTTGGATCCATGACAGGGAGTCACTAAATGACTTTTCCTCTTTGCCCCTCCTCAATCAACCTGAGTAACCACCCCACCCCCCAGTTCTACCATGTCTCCACATTGATGGCCACAGTGTTAATATTTTTTTTACTTGTTCTTGCTTTCATCATCACAACACTCACACCCTCTTCCTCCCTTCTTTTCCCAACGTGGCTTCTGGTCATCCTAGGCCACCACTCAAGTCCCTCAGAGCCCCTACCATAAGTTTCTCCCATTCTCAGTCCATACCTCTTTCCCATCCACTCCCTGAGTTGTCAATTGACTGTACTCAGGACACTGGTAGATGGAGTTAAGGAGAATGCCATAGAGGTAGAGGAGAGCTGCCCAAATTTGGTGGAACATCTTCAGGCAGGAGGCAGCTGGTGCTCTGCGTAGAGTGGTGCCTTAACTGCTCTCTTCCCCCGCTGGCTGCTCAGTCCACTCTGCTTCCAGCCCCCTTGCCTCGACCCTTGATCCTTTCACCTGCTAATGAGTAACTTCAACCTTGTTTTCCAACCCAAGCCTGGATTAGTGTTTGGGCCTTCCTCCCCCTCCTCTAGATGCAACCACTCCACAATACACCCTGGCATGTCCAGGGTCTCTCAGGAATTATAAGGAGAGCTGAGCCCTCCAGGCAGAAGCCTGTGGTCTTTCAACCCATATCTGAGCTGGGTATCTGCTGTGTTGTGCAGCATCCCAGAGTGGTGGATTGATTCATTCATTCACTTAGCAAACTGTGTTGAGTCCCAGCTGTTTGCCAGGAACTGGCTAAGCCCTGGGGACATAAAAATGAATAAGACACGGTCCCTGGCCTTGAAGCAGTCAGTCTAAGGAAAACTAGCTGTGTAAACAAATCACTGCTGTACAACCTGGGAAGTGCTTTAGAACAGGTACAAACCACGTGCTGGGGCATGGTGGATAGGAGGCTTCCTCTCTGAAGTTTATAATTCAGGAAACAATATGTACGCTCTCCGGAAAAGTTTCCTGACACATAAGTGAATTCATTCACTCAACGTTTATTACTACAAGAGGCTATATAATCTAGTGGTTGAAGAGGACAGACATTGGTGTCAGGCATAGTGGGTCCAAACCCTAACTCTACTATTCATTAGATTTTGGACAATTTTATTAATCCTTATGCCTGTTTTTTCATCTGTGAAATGAGCAACTCATCAGTCTCATGGGATTAAAAGAGATAATGCACATAAAGCCCTTAGCAAAGGCCTGCACACGGTAAGTCCAAAGTAAATACTCTCTATAATTAATAGTAACGTTTGTAAAGCACTTATTACAGTTTCTGGTGGCTAATAAGTTTTCAAATAGGAGATAAGGAAAGAATTGTCAAGAGGCAGTCATTGGATAGTGCCAAGTGGGTGGAGCAGTTAATGCAATAAAAGGTGGGGCTTCCTTAATAGATTGTTTATAACCCACAGACTGCCAAAAAGAGATTTGTCCTGAGAGGTGAGGCTTGCTATGGGCTTGTGATTGAACAAAATTTGGGAGATGGGTATATCAGGGTTCATTATACTATTCTATTTTGGGGTAATGTTTGACATTTTTTGATAATTAAAAACTAAAATACAACGATTTATTGGGACAGTAAAGTAGAAGTGCTTGACCCAGAGCGTGCTGGGCCTGGATCTGTCGGTTCTGCCACTTACGTTCGCCTAGGTGCACTCACCTATAAAACGGATGTAGTAACTATCTCAGATGTTGAAAGGCTTTTAAATATGACTACGTAAATCTCTTAGCAAATCGGCGGGCGCAAACTAAGTGCTCACTAAACAGGTGCTTATCAGAACTCTTAACTGAAGCAGTACTGGAACCTGGGTATAAACTATAAAAAGGCAGGGCAAGAGAGTCAGGCACCCCGGCAGCGACGAGTCTGGCTGGAAGAGTCGCAGCGCCTAGGGGTCGATGCCCTTGCCCGAGAGCGGGGGTGGGAGAAGAGGGGAGAGAGGTGGTAACTACCCCGCCCCCGCAACCCCCGCCTGCGGAAGCCCCTTAGCAGCCCCTTCAATTCCCCGGAGTCAGTCTTGTGTTTCAGTCCAGTCTGACTCATTTGCTCCCGATTTCCAAACTCGGAAGCGCCCTTTTTTTTGACAAAAGTCCTGAAAGGTGGCAAATCCTTAGCTTCTCCAAAACATGGCGTGTCGCCTCAGCCGTGCACCGCCGGCGAGGAACATGGCGCCCACACTCCGCAAAACGCCCACCGGCAGGACCGAAGTCAGGCCCAACGACTTGATCGCACGCAGGACAGCTCGCGAACCACCTCCAACCACCTACGGAAAGGGTGACTTCCGCAGGCGCCGAAGATTGGCGCAGCGAGGGCGACAGTGACAGGAAGACAGAATCTTAGGTGGCCAGGACAGTGCCGTATCAAATTCTCTGCCGGCCAAGACTTTAATATAGATTAACGAGGCACAATCCCCAGTATCCAAACTCCAAGATCCATAGAACCGTCGGAAGCCTCGCGAGGCAGTCGTAGAGTCCCATCTGGTAATTTTTTTTTTCAGGCATTTACAGTGCCCACCTTAACCTCCTATTGCTCGAGCGCGCGCGCAGGAGAAATGCACAGCTCCAGAGGGGGTGGGGCGGTGCCTAAGTGTGTACGCAGGCGCAGTGCGACGCACGCAGGCGCAGTACGGTCCCCCAGGCGACGGCGGCGGCGGCTCCTCGAGGGCTCGGCTCCTTCCCATCTAGGCCGGCCCCGGTCCGTCTTGCCCCCAGGAACTCACTGTTTGGGGCCGCGGACTTCCTGGTCGTGACCCACAAAAGTAAAGCTTGGGGACCTAGGAAGAGCCGGAAGTACCGCCTCGCGATCCCCAAATACTATCGGGGAAACGGAAGTGGCCGTCGGTGGCAGGTTAGGGGAGACCGGAAGTGACGGTACCGTGGGGAAGTCGGGGGCGGAGCCGCGGAGTGGTGGGTGGGTGGGTGTGTGTGTGTGTGTTGGTTGCGCCGCTCTGCTGGAGCACCGAGGGAAAGCGGAAGAGGGGGGCAGTCAGCTAGCGGGTCTGGCCCCCCGTGAGTGTCGGTCATCTCCGGTCTGTGGTGACTTAGGCGCGTTCGATGGTCGTGGCGTAGCGCGCGTGCGCGAAACCACTTTCTCCGCAGTCTGGCGCGACCTTCTCACTCGCGTTGTTACAGGATTTGCCGACCTTTGGGGCCCTTGTCTTATCGCGACCGGTGATGACACTGGTCTCGTGCTTTCTTCCCTGCTTCCTATCCCGATTGGCCCTCCCTTATTGTGATTGGCATCGTGGAGCCCCTCCCACGTCCCGTTCCTCCAGCTCCTTGTGCCGTCGATCTCCTCCCCTTTGTGTTTCTCTCCCTGTGCCCCGGAATCAGAAGGGGGATGGGGGCGGGTGTGAGTGTGTGTGCTTGTGTGAGAGAAGCCCTTTAGGTATTGGGGCGGAGACTCAGGCCGGGAGGCTTCCGGATATATAAAATCTGTTCTGGGCGACAGCGGGCCTCCCTCCTTCCATTCTTCCTTAGAGAACTGTCGGCCATGGAGCCCAGTGATAGTACCAGTCTCACTATGGAAGAGCCTGACACCCTGGAGGTGCTGGTGAAGACCCTGGACTCTCAGACTCGGACGTTTATTGTGGGGGCCCAGGTGAGACCCCAGTACTTCTGTTAAGACACCTATTAACTCTTCCTCTTGTAGGCCCCTTAGCCTAAGAGAAGAGCCTGATTTTCTGGTCCTCAAAATTTCTTGCATTAATTTCTTTGTTCATATTCTAGGCAGAACATTTACTGATGTTTCTTGTTGAGTGAGAAGGTATGGTTTCTGTTGAATGAGGCAGATTTTGTTCTGTCTTCCTCCACCTCGATAGAACTCAATGCAGAGGGAAATATGGAGGAAGAAGGAATCTGTATGCTATCACCATGAGTGAACCCCAGACCAAGGGGACAGACATGGCTTCTGCCTTTGGGAAGGGAAACAGGACACACAGACCCAAACGCAAGTGTGTCTTAAAAACAAAAATTGGTCGGGTCTATCCTGTGTTTTTAAAGGCTAGAAATCGGAGCCCCTAATGCAGGTAGAGCCCTAATAGACTGTTGAGTGGAATTACTAAGATTTCTGGCATAATTCCTATCTTTTGAGTTTAACACCATGGGGACATGCCATGACTCCTGTAATACTTGGAGACAAAATTGTGAGGAGTTGGTCCATGATTTTTAAAGCATGGTATTACATGTATTTAAGAAAACTGTATAAACTTTTTCAAGTAGATGTATGTAGATAGCCTGGTACTTCCCAAGAGTCAGTTGTCTAGTTAGTAAAACTTTTTTTGTTTTTTGCTCCCTTCTCTCTTTCTTCTTGGTTGAGTCTTCCTTCCTTGCCCTGATTCTCCACCCCATTTTCCTTGTCATTGCTTTTATCTTTGAGATTACAGAATTGTATCATTTTGTGTTTGGGGAGGGGTCACCGGTGTCTTTAGACACACATTCCCCTGGGAGCCAGGTAGAGAAAGAGAAAAGAGAATGTCTCTTGGCTTTTCTGTTTCTTAGCTATGTAATTTTCTGCTAGGTGTATAACTTGAACTTTGCTAAGTTTATTGTCTGTATTTTGACCGCTGTTGTCTTAGTTTGGGGCTTTGCCCAATAATTACTTCACAAGTCAAATGGGTAGTGATTTTATGATGGGATGGTTTTTACCCCTTATCCCCACAAGTCAATTGTCCTTCTGTCCTTCCTCTTTCTTCCATCCCTTGATACCTATTCGTGTCTTTTTTTTGTTACAGATGAATGTAAAGGAGTTTAAGGAACACATTGCCGCCTCTGTCAGCATCCCTTCTGAGAAACAACGGCTCATCTACCAGGGCCGAGTTCTGCAGGATGATAAGAAGCTCCAAGAATACAGTAAGCGGGTGGGGAAGGCAGTTCAGGGGTTGAGGCAGCTGTCCAGAGGGATGAGCTGAGGCTGTGGCTTTACCTGCTCACATAATGTTTTGGTGTGTATCTTTTTTTTCTGCAGATGTTGGGGGAAAGGTTATCCACCTTGTGGAACGGGCTCCTCCTCAGACTCAGCTCCCTTCTGGGGCATCTTCTGGGACAGGGTCTGCCTCAGCCACCCATGGTGGGGGACCTTCCCCTGGTACTCGGGGGCCTGGGGCCTCTGTTCATGACCGGAATGCCAACAGCTATGTCATGGTTGGAACCTTCAATCTTCCTGTAAGCTTGTGTTCCATGTGGGAGAGTTTTTGTGGGGAAGGGTAGTTTTGGTTGTGGTAGCAAAGAGCTCATAAGACAGGTGTCCCAGTCTTTAGATTGGGTTTGTAGGCCCCTGTGGTCTGATAACGGCCTCAGTCTCTGAGGAGAAGAGGGGTGGGGCTCCAGAGAACGAGTTGGAAGTGTGGGGGCCTTAGTATTTGGCTTCTCCCAGAGCAACTTCCCTTACCCTTTCCCCAGAGTGACGGCTCTGCTGTGGATGTTCACATCAACATGGAACAGGCCCCGATTCAGGTATCACGGGGCCTGGGAGGGCCAGGGAAGGGGATCTGGGAGAAGGAGGCCGTGAGGTGGGGGTGGACCTGGCTGAGGAGATAGCTGGGACCTGGTTTGGTAGACGGTGGAGCTCGTGGCTTCATCTCAAACCTGCCCTAATCTTCCCTCTCTTGTTGTAGAGTGAGCCCCGAGTACGGCTGCTGATGGCTCAGCACATGATCAGGGATATACAGTCCTTACTCTCCCGGATGGAGGCAAGTGTGCAAGCCTGGCTGGGGTCTGTCTATCTCTGTCTCCCCATCCTCCCTACCCCTTTTCTCTCACTCTGGGGGCGAAAGCATGACTGGTCACATCCACTGGATTCCTTCTTCCTAATCTGGTCTCTTCTCTGCAATTTTCATTCTTTGGGGCAGAAAAAGTATCTTTGTGAG